GGGTAGACAACAAAGAGACACATTCTGTTAGAGCAAGTGATTTGGCTCTAGAGGATGAGAAAGAGGAAGGGGTAGATTTGGAATTCTACAAAGTGGGTCCAATTGCCCAAACCTATGAAAAAGTAGTTTTTTAGGGGTGTTGTTTCACTTTAGTCCCAACTATAGTGTGTTTTGATGTCATTTTTTTTTTGGTTTTCAGATTCCAACCTTGAGGACAAGGTTGATTTTCAAGGGGGTGGTATTGTTAGGATATAGAATAAAGGGAATTAGAATAGTTATTAGTTATAAAGATATCATGGGCTAGGCCCATCACATCTATAAATAAGAGGTTACTTGGTAGAGGGGAGCATTCAGATTTGTTCACATTTGTAAATTGAGCATTAGCTCTTTGTGAAAGGAGAAATCCTTTGTGAAGGGGAAACCCTTGGAGGAGATATTTTTCTCCTATTTTTTGTTCTTTTTAACATATTCAATAAAATCTTTCTTTTCTTTCTCTTTCCTAATTCTTAGTTCCTAACAATTGGTCCGACCTGCCGGATCTTCGAGGGAGAGCCAGTGTTACTAGAGATGGAGGAAGCATATATTTGGGCCAAGGGGAAGCTGCCAGTCTTTGTGGGTACAAACCCATTGGGGTGGATTGCTAAGGCTGAGAAATTCTTTGAAGTGCAAGAAATTCATTCTTTCCATAAGTTGCAATATGCTTTCATGAGCATGGAAGGAGTAGCAATGCGGTGGTTCTACTTTTGGAGCCAAAAGAACCCAGATTCTGATTGGGAGTCATTCTCCACATCATTGATCAAAAGATTCATGAAGCAAGAAAAGAAAAGGGACAAAGAAAGTTTGAAGATCAAGAATTATGGTGGCGAAAAATCTGAGATTAAGAAGAGACTCAATGAGGTTTCAGAGATCAAGAAACTCATTAATGAGATCACAACAAAACTTGGGGAAAAAGATAAGCTTCAGGAGGATCTTGATCACCTATTGCAAAAACAGGACTTGACAGAAGACATTGGCACCAGCAACCCAGTTCTGGACAGATTCAAGAAAAATGCAGAAAATACCAAAGGCAGTGAGTCAGATTGCAGAGATGACCTGGTGCATTCTTGGGAAAAACAAGTGGAGTTACCCACCTTTGATGGAAGCATAGAACAGAGAATTAACATGAAGGGTAGCGGTCTAAGGTGTAACAGTAACCTGTTGCAATTCTTGAAGTTAGAAAACAGAAATAAAGAAGTTTTAATCATCAAGAACAACACTATATGTGGTCGGGAAGACCACTTTCTAGGTGAGCCTTCAGCCAAAAATAACCCCCGTTAACTCTATTTTTTCTTGTAGTGATTAGTCGCAAATAATAGTTTTACTTCACTAATATAAGGTACTCTCTCAGTCTCTCTTAAGAAAATATTTGTGCTATTAAATATAATTGCATATTCATAAAATTATTTATTACATATTTAAAATAGATTCCGTAGTCCCTTAAAAATGTAAAATTACTGGGTTGCTGAATCATTTTCCTTTCCTGCTGTTGTTGGTTTTTTTTTTTTTTTTTACTTTTGACCTCTAACTTTCCTCTTATATAAAAGCTAATTATACTAATATTATTGCAAAGGTCTTAAGTAATTGATTTGAATATCTAGTCAACGTTAATTAATTCAAATTAATCATACTAATTAATTCATGTATATATCATGTTACTATTTAGTCAATGTTAATTAATTAAAATAATATTATAATATTGTACATGTTAAGTAATTGATTTGAATACTTGTTTTGATTAATTAGTTCATAATCATTTTGGGATTATAGTTTCTCATTGATTAAATATATTTATCTATTTGTAAAATGTAATGATCCGCTTAATCACTATACTTATTACAATTTAACAATAACTAAATAAAAGTACAAGTATCAAACATTTGTCTAAGGTATTATGTAACAAGTAGGTATATTTCATGCAAACAATTATATATGTAAGAAATAAAACAATTATTCCTAAATATAAATTCATACTTCATACAAACAAAAAAAACTATTGTATACAAAATAAACCTTGTTATTAGTCAAATGTTTATATAAGACTTAACTATCTTGGGGTAGCAACACCCAAAAGAGAGTCGTCTTTAATGTGACTCAACGCCAAATAACACAACTCGTCTCGCTAATTTTGTCTTGTTCTCATATCAAGTATAATTATAGTAGTCCCAAATCACAAAGAAAAACACAATATAAGCTTGTGATACAAAAGTAATGTCATACAACAACATTAACATAAAAAACATAAAAGCAACATCATTCATTACGTCATATTATGTCTTGTCATACAATTTAAAGTATCCAAGCACTCGTACAACTTATGACATCTCATCACAATTATCAAATAATACATTGTATTCATACAATATTTCGTTCACATCAATCATCGTATAACAACATACATCTTTGCACCTTCAGCATGAGCAACTTAAATAACATTATTTAATACACCTACAATAATTTTACAACACGACTTAAACCACCCAAACAACTCATACAAGTTTAACAATTTTAGTATAAATACCATATTAACACATGGTCATCAAACAACATCATACTCATAGTTTTCATCATATAGCAACCTATACATCTTTACACCTTTAACTTAACTACTTTTAATATTACATAAATGTATCACCACATAACATGAACATCTATGTCATTAACACATCACAAACAATACAAGCATTCACTGGACTATCATCCACCCCAACACCTTCAACAAAACAACATATACACATACACACACAACTAATGTGTCGTCACGCATATCAACTTCGAAGATTTCCTATAACTGAATTGAATAGTTTAAGTGGTTTGAGTTTACCAAATCACAACAATTGGTATAATACCAAAAAACAATAACTAACACTAAAGGCAAAAATAGGGACTAGCATAAGGCTAGAAACAATGGCTAGCATAAGCAAGATTGATTTCTCAGGTTTTTTCCCTTAAGCTTGAAAGTATGGTGCTATATCAAGCTATAATAGTTTGGGTATGAGTCTACCACAACTTTATCTTACAATACTAAGCCTCATATGAAATAAATCCACCGACTACCCTCCAAATATTACAACCCTTCACTTCTCGATAAGAGACTAAGTCCATGACTTTGTACTTTACTCGGTCGGTCACTTATAATCAATATAGCTTGACCTTGCCCCTATATTGTGGTCACTATATACATGTATGCCTCATACTTTCCTACATTTAGATACCACATAAAACCTAGAAGAGACGATTGAAAACAACGTACCCATTTAGAAGGTAACTTACTTACTGAAGGATTCAACACAATGTATATCCACACAATGGGATATTAAAGTTTGAAAATATCTTTAATTCTCCTATAGTATCTATGTATCTAAACATAGACATGTATCACAATCACATGTCTAACAATTGAACAACTTAACAACTTATCATCATACATCGTTATAACTTAAACATCATTTAACTTACATCTTAACTATACAACAACATAACATCATATCAACTTACATCTTTACAACTTAACCATTTATCAACATGCATATCAAGTTTCAACTTAACAACAATAATGAACACAATATTTAGCATATACCCTATCACATACAACATCAACGTACAACCATATCTTTCGCCTTAATAACATAATTATCATAATACATCATCAATTGATTTATCAACTTACAACATAGATATTCATCATCATATACTATCATACATACATCATGATCATCAATATTTCATTGATAGGAATAGGGGAGAGCAACAATGAATTTTTCGTTCAACTCTAGGAGCAATGCTTAACACCTTATTCTTTGTGAGCCCAATGCTCAGCTCCAAGAGTAATGTTTAGCACCTAAATCTGTGTGAGTCCAATACTCAGCTATAAGAGAAATGTTCAACACCCAAATCTCTTCGAGCTTAATGTTTAGCTCCGAAAGTAATGCTTAACACCTAAATCTCTGTGAGCCCAATGCTGATCTTTGGGGAGCAATGCTCAGCATCTAAATCTTTGCGAACCCAATGTTCAACTCTAAAACAAGAATAATCACTATGTCATTCAACTCCAAAAATTTATATTCACCCATGGAACTTAGAAATCAACCACATGTAACATCATATTTCATATATGCGCAACACTCTCAACTCATTTCCAACCAAAAACAACACATGCAACTATCAAGGTATCAAGATTATCCACTTTTACTAAACTCACTTAAGAGAATATCAAAATCTCAAATTCCCTTTGCGACCCACAACTCAACCACCAACAAATCCAGCAATACAACATGAAACTAAGGATTTCAAAAGGTATCAATCTACATGCATACCACACGAAAACAATGCAAGGTTCCTTTAGCTTATTGATGGTTTGGAACCAACAAGAGGATACGACTATGGGAAGAGATCCTCAACTTCACCAACTCATAATCCTCATCGCCACACCTCTTATCAACTATAAGGAAGGAAGAAAAGGGTTTCTCATCCAAGGAGGAAAAAGAATAATGAAAAGGTTCACTTAGAGAAACCTCTTTTTAGATTTCAAAAACTTAAGTTATGAATTCAAAACTTAAAAATAACATTTTTATATTTTTCTTTAAGTGACCCAACCTAATACACAATACAATTCTGATAAAACAAACACATCAAAACTTGAGTGTTATATAAAACTATTTATTACATTTTTTATATTATCAATCTATTCGTTCAAATTAAAAATACAAATATTATGATTATCTTAATTATCAAAAAAATTATATATTTTAAAATTATAAAATATTTGTATTTTGACAAAAAAAATGTAAAACTATTTACATTTTGAGATACTATTGATTACAAGTTATTTTCAGCTAATAATATAAAAAGGGTAAAATGGTAAACACGTTTTTATAATCGTGAAGAAAATGGAGAGGGTTATATGTATGTGTGTGCTCCTCTCATGTCTGTGGCAGCTCTCTCTCTTCCCTGCCCCCGCCATATTCGGCGACGTTTGAAAGTTTCTTTGTCTTCCTTATTTTACTTTTTTAAATTAATTAATTAATCAATATTACGATAATAATCAGAATAAGAAAAAGAAGAGAGTGATTGTGAATTAAGCACGCACGCTAAGTGAGTGAATAGCAATGGAGAAGTACCTGAGAGAAAACTTTAGCGTGCAGCCGAAGAATCCCTCGGAGGCGGCACTTCTCCGATGGAGATCCGCCGTCTCAGTCGTCAAAAATCCCCGCCGCCGCTTCCGCATGGTCGCCAATCTCGCCCAACGCGCCGACTCCGAACAAAAGCGCAAGAGGCTTCAGGTACTCTCATCTCTTCCATTTCCATTTCAAATAATGCGTAAATGTAATGCTGATTCTCTCTTTTCGCTGTTGAATCCAATAACCGATTCCACACTTGAAATTAAACTTTTATATGTTATAGCATTTGTGGCTCAGAAAAACACACGGTAGAATAGATCGAAATCCGACTCCTTTTACAGATTTCGGTGTTTCGTTTAATTTCTCCGTTCGTTAAAATGCACGCGCACTGATCAATCTCGCGAAATTGGTGGCGTGCAATGAAAGCTAGTTCTAAGAGTAATTCCTCATTGAACCAAATACATTTACATAGGGATTTAGAAAACGAGTCTCGCTTATTTTTAAATATAATTAACATGCTTGTAGATAGATTAATCTCAATTAATACATTGTATTTTGAAATATATTCGTGATCTGGAGAATTGATTCCTCCTAAAATGCAAAGTTGAATCGTTTACGTAATTTGGCGAAATTCTTTTTATCTTCGTGGAAACGTATTTTCTTCCGGCATAGAAAGATCATCACAAGCTTTTCTGCCAAGAATAAAAGACCAAGGTTTTTTATTTGTTTTTATTAGTTAGATATATGTAGGTCCTATAGGCTTTACTGGCCACGATAAATACCGCACCAAAAAACGGGAAAAAAAAAATTCCCATTAGAATCAATTTTGACTTCAAAGATTATTAATTTATTACAGAAGAAATTTCTTAACTTTTTCATTGATTTTTTCCTTTGTCTGCCTGTCACGCTAAAATCAAGAATTCATTTTTTGCTAAAATTAAAAATGAGAGTGACAAATATTGAAATTTCGTGTGAGGAATCAAATATCTTGAAAGCTTAATTAACTAAATCATATTTTATATTTCATGAAATACTATTCAAAGAAAAATGTTAGGCTATGTTTTGAAGCCAGTTAATTGATATACAAAACATAAACTTAATCTATTAAAGATGCACAAACTTTTCATTCAGCTTAATTAGGTGATACTTAAAAGGAAAGAGTTAGGAGAGAAAACATAATAGGTATATGATGTGATAAAAATAAATAAAGAGAAATAAGTGTTGATAGAGTTTTTAATATATACGTGAGTGTTCGTATATCATCATTCGGAAAACAATATGGTAAAGTCAAATCAAATGGCTGCCATAGGTCGCAAATGTTATCCACCACCTTTTTAAGACTTCCAATCTTTATCTTCTGTCCCGTTGAATTGTATTTTTTCAACATAAAACTCATCTTTTGTGCTTTTCCAGTTTTCCTAGTTCGGTATATATTTTAACTTTCTATTAGGAAACTAAAAGAAATTAGTTTCATGAAATTAAGATTTCATACAGACGTATATCTTTAAGTTAACCCATGCAACCATGCACGACTACTTGTTCCATTGCATGCTATGCAATGTAAAACAGCAAAGATTCGAGGTGCTACACTGCTATCTTTGAGTCATTTTCTTCTTTGCCCTTGGTGCTTATTCTTTAGTCTTTACAAGTGTTTCTCTTAATTTCGGCATATTTCTAAAGCAACTCCACTAGGACGCACTGATTTTACAAAATTTATCATAATATTTATATTACTATTTACCATAAACTCTAGAAAATGAGATGATAGAAACTGTGTGCTTATTTTAATACAAACGTGGTCAAGTAGATCGATCAATACAATTACGTTATAACCATTCTAATTAATTTGATAACTGTTATCTCAATTAATTTGTATTTGTTACGAAATAGATACAATAACAAACCAATACATAATTGCTATCCACTTATTCTCTTCCTGTTATGATCCTGGAAATGCTATATATTTGATGCTTTGAAAATTTTTAATTCCTTTTAATACTTCGTTTGGAAATCGGTATATGTCCATAACTTACCTTTAATTGAAATTAATGTATGGTAGAACTGCTATATTACCATTCAATGTGTGATAGAAAAAGAGGGTGTTTTCTCTGCTTTCGTTTCGTGATGTTGATTTTAATTATAACTCAGATACGTAACAGCATTTTCAATTTTCAATTATCTCCTTGTTCAGAGTCGTATCAAACCGTCATCTGATCTAATCCTCATGATGCTTTATCAGCTTGAGGGTGAATACCACAAAGTTTGCATGAACTGGTGTTATATTCATTATATACACACAACATATATTCTCCAACATTACCTAAACTATCTTAGTTTTTGGGCTTCTAAAAGCAACTTCACATTTTGATGCTTACCGAGATATTCGTTATTAGATTAAACTTTTTAGTAAAAGCAATATTAAATTTGTTATCGGTGTTATTCAGATGATTTCTCAATGATCGTATTTGTTAGAGATAACGGTATAAATTATTCACTAACCATAAACATATATTTAGCCGTTGAAATATTTAGTCAAATTATTTTATCTTGATAGCAAAATTAATCTTTTCTTTGAGTAGTATGTTTAACGCCCCTATGTTGTAACTTTGTAGTTGTCATGGTGCATAATATATATATATATATATATATATATGTGTGTGT